TAGGATTTTCATTAGGATGAAGGTAATAGGGATTGGAAATGTCTTGTGTTGAATTGGAGGTTAAGGCCGCCATTGATAGAGTGCAGAAAGTAGTAAAAAAATTTGGAAGGAAAAAAATAAGTTTGTGTTTAGAGGAAGCAAAAATGCTCTGATACCATGATGAAATTAACTCAGATATGGAAAAATGATGTTGAATTCATTTTGAATTGAAAAACAGAGTTACAGCAGTGTATGCTTTATATACAGCAATCCTACGACAAACTTAACAAACATTAACTGACTCAACTAGAGGTGGGTCCCTTGCGGGCCCAAGCCCGGGCCCGTTTGGGACTGGTCCCAAATAGGACCAGTCACTCATGGGTCCCAGGCCCATGAGAAAAACCAGGACCCGGAGCAGGCCTTAGGCCTAGTCGGGACTGGTCCCATGGGCTCAGGACAGGTCCTAGGACCAGTCCCATGGGCCTTGGATAATTTCATTTTCCCCCTCAAATTTTTTATATTTTGGGCAAAATGAAATTTTATAGGGGGTTTTTAGTATTTTTTAGGGGTAAAATTTATAAATTTTATAAATTTTTTAGACCTGGAAGAATTTTTTTTTTTTTATAAATTTTGTAAAATTTTATTTTAGCCCTCGTAATTTATATTTATTTTAAAATTAACAGGGGGTTTTATGTAATTTGGCAGGGACTACATTGAAAAAATACAAAAAAATTTAGGCGCAGGCCCGGGCCTTGGAGGAGGGCCCAGTGGAGGGCCCGGGCCTTCCTCCTTAGGCCTGGTCCCGTTTTGGGACCAGGCCTCCTAGGTCTGGTCCTCTTAAGCATCGGTCCTAGGACCGGGTTTTAGAGCTGGGCTTTTGGGCCCGGGCCCAAAAGCCCAGCTCTAGACTCAACTAATTAACTAACTTTATAACAAACTAATAACTACTTGAAACTAACTACTTAACAGCTAACTTACTTCTTTATTCTTCAACAGTTTTTCTCCTATCCTTTCTTAAAACTACTTTCTGCAGACCTTGTTCACGCAATCTTTACAATCCATCTCAGGATGATCAGGACTAGTTTTTCTCTTCTTCTTTATTGGATCTTTCTTCCCCTATTCAGAAGACAACACAAATATGTTAAACTCTTCCATTAAATCTTGATGTCCAACTAGAATAGCGGCTACTTATTGTAAACATCACCTACATCCTTGTTGGTTCCATTGAAAGCATTTAACTAAGCTTGATAAACAGAGTCATTACCTTTTAAAAAAAGCTTTGCTTTGTTCAGAAACTCAACAGCTCCTTGGACACGACCATTTTCTTCCCCTGGGGCATCAAGCTCACCAACTTCTATTTTAGAATCCTCAGGCAAAAAGGCATTGAATCCCACCAGCAAATCTTTATTTTCTTTAAAAAGTTCCTTAGCTTTCTCGGCAAGAACCTCAATGCTAATTTTATTGTTTCTGAAATCCTCCATGAGTTGCTGAAAAACTAGAAAATTTAGGCCATTTTCTTTAAGAAATTTCTTAACTTGATCTGAATAAGTCAAGGCTTGTGTATGGTAATCAGACATTGGCATGGTTCTTATTAGAAAGAGCCGTGAAAACAGGAGAAAAGAGTAAAGAAGATCGAGTAAGGAGACGTGAAATAGCAAAACAAAGTGAGATATCCATATATATATATATATAAACACTTGATATTGTTTCTTCCTGAGGAAACTAGGAATCCATATGCTGATCAAAATAGGAAACCTTCTTTTATTTATGTTTTAACTGAAAAATAAAAAAAATAAAAATAAAAAATTTGAGTTGAAAAACCAAAATCAACAATTTCAATAAAAACAGTTAATAAATTGGCTTGACCTTTTCAACAAAACAAAGCTTCCAATAATTCATTCTAAATGTTTTTTTTTTTTTTTTTCCCTCTCAATTATGAAAAATATTTCTCATGTCTTTGTAAAAAAAATAAACAAATCAATTTTATGCATGTTTTAAATAATTCCTGGAAAATGTAGTTGCATAATACTTATAATTGTTATTATAGCTTATTACCAATATTTAAAATGGCAGTGAAGTAACATAATATTTATGTTTTTATGTAAACTATAACATAATTTTATAAATAATTATAACATAATATTTATGTTTTTATGTAAATTATAATATAATTTTATAAATAATAATCATAAGTAGATATCCCCATGGTAAAAGAGCCAAAAGAGGTTTCACAAGCTTCTGAGTTCGAGTTCCCCAAAGCACTAATAGAGTTGAATATTGAGACTCTTACCTAGCCGATAGTTTCAAAATTCCTAGAGATTAATTGAAGTACGCACAAACTAGTCTAGATACCCTCGGTGATAAAAAAAAATTTATAAATAATTTTTAAGCATTTTAAATGGTTAAAATTTAATAAAACTTATATAAGTAATATAGATTGAAAATAATACAATCTTGATTTAAGCTTATCCAAAAGCTTTAATTTGAAGTCTAAAAAACTATGTTAAGATTTTGTATAAACATTTTCAATGGTTTGATCTCATTTATGAGTCATGGCATCATACTGAAAATACTAATAACCTCATATCTAGTAATTAATCATTCAATTTTCTCATATGAAAATGGTCAAACACAATCTTATCTATCACTAAAGTGACAAATACCAAATTAACCTTATATTTCATATAAATGGAATGGTGTAAATCATCTCAATGTCTTCATTTTTTCAAACATCCCCTGATTAATTTAATCTATCCAGAACTCAAGTTTGATTTGGATTACAAAGTATTCTTAAAAACATTCATGAAGGATGACCGCCTCCATTCGCAGGTAACAATGCATCGATTTCATCTCCTTCCTCTAATTTAGCCTACAAATGAAGTAAAAATATTCTATTAGAATTGCAAAAATCATAATACATTGAATGAATAGCATATCAAATCAAAACATTTGAATAACAGACAGAGCAACTTAAACTGCACAAAACTAGTAGTCAAGACAACAACTTTTGCAAGAAATATGGGTATGTTTGTTTCCTTGTTTTTACATTATCCTATTCCTATTTTTTTCAAAATAAACATTTATTTCCCTATTCTGAAAATCATATTTCATTTTATTTAATTAATTTTAAACCCCTTAGGTTTGTTAATTTAACTAAACACCCAAAAAAGTTTAAAAATTAACAAAAACACCCTCACCCATCCACATTTGCTAGATTCTGGCCACCACCACTGGCAGGTGGCCAGAATCTTGTACAGTGGTGCACTACCGACTGGATCTGGCTGATAGTGTGCCGATTTACCAGATCTACAATTAAAGATCTAGCCGTTGACGGTCAAATTTTTTGTCGTAGCTAGTCATTAACGACGGCCAAGATATGGCCATCAACAGTCATATCTAGCCGTAGATCTAGGCTTTTCCAGCCAAATCCACAGTGGATATGACTAAAAAATGTCATATTTGTGTACGACCGGCCAAATCCAGCCGATCGTGCGCTAACATGGCGACTCGACCACCCTTCGGCGGTGATGGTCAACTGCCGGTATTTAATGGATGGGTGAGGATGTTTTTATTAATTTTTAATGTTTTATTACAAGGGTCTTTAGTAAATTAATAAACCTAGAGAGTATTTTTTTAATTTTTAAATCTTACCTCGTAATAACCATCCAACTCTTACTTTTTCAAAAATCATATCCAAAATAATATAACAAACCATCCCTATTGTTGATTGTATTTATTATATTTAATAATTATTAATTGCATATTACATTTAAAGATCATATAAGTACTATAGTAACTTTTTGATATTTTGTTTTTCTAGAGTATACAAGTACGAGTGTTAAAACGGGTTAATGACTTGCCGCGTTGCGTCAAATAAATATTTAATCCAAGCCTGATTCGTTTAATTATGGATAATGTTATGAGTACTAACAGATTTTAAGTACTAACTTAAAGCATAGTACAGATACTATATATATAGTATAGATACTATGTGTGATTTTAACAAAGGTTAGTATACTGGTTAGTAAAACCTGTTAGTACGCAAATTATTATTCTTTAATTATTTCTGTCAAAGGTCACAACCCAAACCAACTCATTTATTATTCGTGTCAAAGTGTATCAACCAATTCATGGCACATTTAATAATTTGATCTTTTAAACTAATTTTCTGACATTGAAGTAGATGAGATTAAATTGTATTAAATATGGTATTGTCATTAATAGCTTGAGTTAAAACCACAGGTCCACGTTTCTCATCAGGTAGAGGTTTTTTTTGACACCCCTGAGGTTTCCCCCCAAAAAAAAAAAAACAAAGAGACCCATATAGTTTAATAAACCCATATAATTTAATTTACTATACATCATTGGCAAAGATAATTATTGAGCGAATGAATTAATTTTCTTGGCATTGGTTCTAAAAACATTTACATCTTTCGGGTTTTTCATTTCTTAAAAAAAAAAAAAAAAAAAAAAAAAATGCTGCATACAGTATAAAAACATTGATCATTTCTTAACATGCACGGACTCGTCAAATATATCTAAATAAAGCCAAACTACTAGTGTGGAGATTGTGAGAAATCAATTTTAGAGTCAATTTTGTTAGCATTTGTAGAGTTTACTTTGTAATTTGAATTTAAAATTCCCCAATGTTATGTTCTAATTCTAAAATTGATCATTAAGAAGGTTGAAAAAAGAATATTGCAGTAAGAGATATAAAACTTATATATGTAATATAGATTGAAAATAATACAATATAGATTTAATCTCATCCAAAAGCTTTAATTTGAAGTCTAAAAAACTATGTTAAAATTTTGTATAAACATTTTCAATGGTTTGATCTCATTTATGAGTCATGGCATCATACTGCGAATACTTATAAACTCATATCTAGTAATTAATCATTCAATTTTCTCAAATAAAAATGGCCAAACACAATTTTATCTATCACTAAAGTGACAAATACCAAATTAACCATATATTTCATATAAATGGAATCGTGTAAATCATCCCAATGTCTTCATTTTTCAAACATCCCCTGATTAATTTCATCCATCCAAAACTTAAGTTTGATTTGGATTACAAGCAATCTTAAAACATTCATGAAGGATGACCGCCTCCATTCGCGGGTAACAATGCATCGATTTCATCTCCTTCCTCTAATTTAACCTACAAATGAAGTAAAAATATTCTATTAGAATCGCAAAAATCATAAGACGTCCAATGAACAGCATATCAAATCAGAACATTTAAATAACAGACAGAGCAACTTAAACTGCACAAAACTGGTAGTCAGACATCAACTTTTGCATATATATATGCATTCAAGTTAAAAGAACATTATTAATTTTGAATACATACATAAATATTATTAAAAAAAAGGTTTAAAAACTTTACTTCATTAGGAGTAAGGTCATGATCGAAGCGTTCTCCATTAATTAAGAAATTAACAGTCCCATATTGCAGAACTTGTTTCTCACAATACAAATTCAAAACTTTCCTTAGCTTGACGTCACGTTTGACCTGGAAAACCAACTTATTTCCTTCCTACAATCAACTCAAAACAATAAATCCAATCACTAAACAAGTTGAAAACAAAATACAAAAGAAACAACAAATATATACACAGAATTTTGATTGTATAAGACAAAGAATTAAACAAAATTTCTGTCTACTTTCATTGTACAACTACACAGGATTCATGAATTATCTCTATTCTATATATATAACTTAACACAAATAAGCCTAGACTTGACTAAGATAGAATAGTTATAATCAATCAAAATATAGTCTTAAAATAGGCAAAAATTGGACTTGTACAAATGATTTTTTTTTTCCTTTTTTTTTTTTTTTTGGAACTATCATTGTTTATTAAGTTGAAGCATACTACCTGATTTTTGACGATGACTTTTATGGGGGCATTCATGGCTATTTCCTTGACTTCTTTGACACACCTACAATAAAAATGGAAAATTGTTTTGTTAACAATATAATAAAGGAAAGAGCTTTAAACAAAGAAGAGGAATTAAACCTAAAGTCACAATCCAAAATCAAAAGTTCTGATTTTTTTCCCCCATAAAACATCAAAAAAGTGCTCTCTGCAAAAATAAAAGTTTTTTTATTACTCTAAACTGATAGTTCTGGAATTGAACAACTTTCCATTAATAGATCATGAATATTATTACACCTCTGAAACTTCAAAACATTACTATCCCAAAGAGTGTGAAAACTATCAAACACTCCCCCATCAGTTAGTGTTTTTTACCATGAAAATTGTGAATTTGTGATGCGGCTTATTTTGACCAATAAAAAAAAAAAAAAAAAATTAAAAGTTACCGTTAACTGTATGAGTATATTCTAAACTTATGTATTAAACCCTTACATGTGTATTTGAAAAATATTTTTAAAAGAAAAATTACATGGCAAGATCAAAGACAATCCACATGTTGTAACAATGTGAGCCAAATCACAACGAATTAAGGTAGAATGGAACTTTGGAGGCCAGATCTCTCTATATCCCACCTCCAATCTGTGTTTTTTAAAAGTTTTCTTGAATATTTTTCAAAAAACAAATTTTTTTTTTAATAAATCTGTCTGTCAACTTAAATGATTTCTAAGTTTCGACTCCATATTTCTCAAACTCTTTTCGTTTTTCTAGTTTTTCTTTTGTGAAAAATGCTTCAAAAATTAAATAGAACTTTTAATTTGCATTAAGGTAAAAAAAAAAAAAAAAAAAAGTGGCAAATGAGACTTACCTGCGATCTTCAATGTGGAAAGAAAACTCTTTGTGAAACTATAAATCAGAGAGTTGAGAGAAGTTCTTAATAAAAATATAAGCAAGAGAGTTGAGAGTAGTTGTTAATAAAGAACAGAGAAGAATGAAATTGAAGATGCTGCCAAAAAGCGTGAAGAGCCAATATATTTCAATAAATGTGACTTGAATTTTTCATCCACATTAATGGGTCTGACAATACCAAATTTTTCTCATAGTTGAAAGAGTAAACAACATTTTCTCACGCAGGGTTTGGCCTAAATTTTTCCACCCAAAAAATTTCAAAATGATATTTTCCCACCCACAGTTATATTCCGTTAGTAAATTCTATTAAATACAATATACATTCGTTGCAAAGACGAAAATACCATCCCTATTTGATTTAATAATTTTTTTATTATTATAGTAAAACTTCTCTATGGTCATAATATTGGGACTAACTAAATTTATTACTATGAAAATGTTATAACTTAATAGAAATGTAGTTATAATAATTATTTTTTTATTCAAAAAAAATTCCTTATTTTATAATTCATATTTTAGTAGTATTAAGATTTTCATTCATATTTTAATAATATTAGGATTTCAATTAATTTTTAGTAGCATTAGGATAGTAAAAAAAATGGATATCAAGGAGTTATTGTAGAATTGAGTGATCGAATTTGACAATTTCACTACACTAATCAAATTGATATTAATGTGTTCCTCAATCATCCAAATGAGTAATAAGTTATGTATATTTTAACTTAAAAAAAAAAACATTACTAGAATTAAACAAGAAGAGGAAGGAGATAATTCTAAGGATGATAGTACGAAAATATCAAAAGTTTCGTGTCAAAGAGTTCTGAACATATTGAGAAGCTAAAAATATTTTAGCTTCGATAAGAAGGTGAAGGTATCTATGTTGGCTAACTTATTATGAACATGCAATATAAAACATGAGATAACAACTATATAGTATAAATCATTATCAAGCAATTTTAAATAAATATTTTATTTCATCTTAAACTTTTAATGTAATATAGCATATAGTTTTTGTAATATACATATAATTTATTACTATATAGAGGCAAATTCCTTAAGACAGAACCTAGAAAAATTATAACTTATTACTATATAAAATTTATTCTTATTTATAATTGGCCCAAGTTAGGACTAGATTTTCAAATGAAAAGATCCAGAAGATTCAAAACATTAATTAAAAAAAAAAAAAAAAACATTCTCTTTTTCTTCATTTCTTGGAAAACAAACGGGCAGCTTATATTTTATATCTCATCTCCCAATCACCTTCCCACCCGATTCGGCCTGAATCTCACCTATTTGAGTGCGATTCCTCGCCATTGAAGAGTAAGCTCAATCGCCCGTAGAAAACTATCGTAGCCGTTGAAAACACCACACAATCAACATACAAACGCCAGAAATGTCAAACAATTGCAACCCAATTTCGATCATCAATCAATTATCAAAATAGCAATAATCCACAAAGAAATTGCGAAAATCTCCAGGGCAACTCAGAGTTGCGTAAAGGAGATAATATGGGTTTTGCTTTGTTCGTTTTCTTTTTTGTAGAGAATGAGAAAAAGAGATGGAAGATGATGGAGGTAAGGCGCTAGGGTTGCTGGAGGTTGTTAGATTCTGGGGCTGCCATGATTAAACAAGAAAAAACCCTAGATTAAGGAGAAACGAGAGAAGAAAACTCTAGGCTTTATTAAATTGATAAGAGAAGAAACGCTACGCTAACCCAGATCTCGAATTTTAAATTTTGATTTTTGATGGATAATGTAAATTAATCGTTGTGCCCTTACTTATAACATATTTTTAACCATTCTACCCTTCTTAAGAACGAAATTTATTAATAGATTTATTCTATGGGTGAGAAAATGTCATTTTAAAACTTTTTGAGTGCCAAAGTTTCATTTGGCCAAACCTTGGGTGAGAAAAAGTCGTTTACTCTAGTTGAAAAACAAAAAAGAGTTGACCCTTAATTGAATGGCTGCCACTTGCTAAGCATGGCCACCGTTATGTTTTGTACTTTTGTTGCTGTTGGATGGGTAGAATCAAATTTATCTCTCTTCATGGATTTATCTTTTAAGGACAAAAGAAAAATCGAATCAACCTTGAGGGCATTTTACTTAGTAACAATAAACCAACGGCATGTTTGATTTTCAGAATTAGAATAGAATAACAATATTTATTAAGAATGAAAATATTGGGTTAGCGTAAAATGGGATTACATTGATTGGTTGATTAAGAAAAATTTCATGGAACCGAAAAAAAATACTATCAATTTATTTTATTTAATAAATATAAATTTTATTTTTATTTAAATAAAAAATCAATAAGGTAAACATTTTAGAAAATTTTAAAAAATCAAAAATTAAAAAATCTTCCAATCGGTCAACGCTGATTAAATTCGTTAGCAGAGAAATTATGTTATACTTTTACTATATCAATATTTATAGTCAACCACTTAATAATGGGGAGACTGACATTTTCCCACCCAAGGTTTGATGAAACGGCCCTTTCCCACCCATCAAGTTTCAAAATGACACTTTCCGACCCTTTGTTGGGTTTTGTTAGTGTTTTCAGTTAATATTTGACTGAAAAGACAAAAATACCTTTAAATATTTTATTATAAATTAAAATTAATTAATTCAAAGTCTTTATTCGATTATTTATTAGTCAAAGTATAAAGATACATTTTTTTATTTATTTAATTAATTAGGAATATTAATTTTTTATGTTAATTAGTAAAAATGAAAAATATTATAAATAATAGTGATGTGATATTGATGATATTATAAATAAATACAATATTAAGATTATTTAACTTTAAACAATTTTATAGTATTACTCTTAACTTTTTAAGTGAGGTTAACTTTTTTTTTTTTTTGAATTTTTAATATTTGACTTTTTCGCTAATTAAAAAATAATAAAAAATTTATAAAATAAAATATTTAAGGGTATTTTCGTCTTTTCAGTAAAATATTAACGGAAAACATAATAGAACCTAACGAATGGTGGAAAAGTGTCATTTTGAAACTTGATGGTTGGGAAAATGTCATTTCGCCAAACTTTGGGTGGGAACAGTCGTTCTCCCCTTAATAATGTGTATACATACTTATACAACGTTTAATTTTAACTTTATACAACATATAAATTATGTACATTATAAAATAATTTTTATATTTTATTTTATTTTATACTATACAGTAATACACCTGGTATAAAATAAAAACTTTACACATTGTGCATGTTGTCCAATAAGCTACTGACGAATGGGCATTACATGTCATAATATTATTTACAATGTTAAATTACCCATATAAGTTGGTTTTAATCTTAAACATATTTTATTAACCAATTCAAGAATATCTGGATGATTGTTAAGAGTGTCTTCTCCAACCTTTGATTGAAACAAGTTCCATGCTTCTTTATTTTCCAAAAACTCCACTCTAAAATGTTTATGAGCTTCCATATGGCCACAAACCTCAACAGAACGAGTGGTAAAAACTATTTTTGATCCATTGTTTGGATCTGGATGAGGGATTCCCACGTCTTTTAAATCAACTCTCTCCCAAATGTCATCCAATAATAAAACAAATTTCTTCTTACTCAAAATCTTGAACAAGTCCTGAGCTTTGTAAAGGAGACTTTTTGTCTTCCACGACTCGCTTGACAAACCTATCTTTTCCCCAATCACTTCTTGAATCTTCTCAACTTTGTGGTCTTTAGACACCACTACCCAGATCACAACATCAAAATCATTTCGTTCGTTGCAGAAGTTGTTGTTGATCTGAGTCAATAGTGTAGTTTTACCAACTCCTCCTGTGCCATGCAGCCCTATAATTCCCACTTGCTCTTCTCCAAGGCATCTCCACACTTTATCAAATATGGTTTGCATACCAACTATCTTTGGATCAATTGGTATTTCATTCACCGAATCTTTTAGTACCCTCCGAGCCACATCTTTGAAATCTCCTTCACTCCTTAAAGTGGCCATATATTTCAACTTTTCAGCCACTTTTTTTCCAAACCTGTAGCTGGATATGCAGTTCCTGGAACAATAGTCACCAAGACATAGTCTCTCAATTTCTTGAGAGCTGTCATTTATTATCTCCTCAACTTCAGTTCCCACCGCTTCCACCCTTGAAAGCCAGCCTTGCACTTGATCCAGCCGTTTCATTTCATGTTGCTCTTCAGCAATCATAACCCTCCTCGTTACATCGTTCCTTGCTTCAATCAATTTTTGGTACTCCGCTTGCAAGTCACTAAGGTTGTGTTGGAGGTGTCTTATGTAAGCAATTTTCGCAACCATGCAATCCAGGCAACGAGATAAAATTTCAGAGATTGAGAAAGAGAAGACGTTACCCATGGTTTTTGTTAGGTTTTCAAGGAAGAGAATGAAATGAGAGCAGCAAGTAAAATAGAGAAGATAATTATGTCTCGGAGGATAGCATTTCCTCGATATTTCTTCGTTCTTATAATGAGATTGTAACAAGAAGAGAACGAAGTAACAAACAGAGAAACAAGAAACTTCCTGGAAACCCACTTTCTTCGTTAACTCATCATTCACGTCTCTTGTATACTTTACGTCTCTTCGTTAACTCAAAGTTCTTAACTAATTGTCAACCAGAGTTTACTCAAAGAATAAATTTAGTCAAGAGATCAATTGATTGCTCTCGGGCCTAGGTTTGGGCCCAATAGGACCAGTCCCATGGCACTAGAAAATTTATTTTACTCTTCTTAATTTTTATATATTTGGGGTTAAATTGAGAATTATGTAAGGTGGTTTATGTAATTTTACAAGGGTAATTTGTAAATTTTTTAATTAATTAGTAAATAAATATAAATGAATGGTCTTAATTTAAAGAGATAATTTAATTTGAAGTTAAACAATTAAATAAATATAAATTGATGATTAATTGGTTATAAATATATATAGTTTTAATTTAAAGAGATAATTTAATTTTAAAATAAATACAATATTCACACTTCACAATGTGCAAATTTAATTTAAACTTAAACAAATAAACAAATTTGTTTTTACTAAATTATTAATTTACATCATCCAAATCCATATTTTTGAAGAGTCAAGTAGTTCGGGATCTTCAGGGTATTATTGTAGTCTTCAATCTACCTAGTCCAATCCCATAAACATGCTTATGTTAGTCTAGCTAGCACCTGCTTGAACCAAAAAGTTTTATAAAATGATTATGATTATGTTGTTGACAATACGATATATTCAGATTTCCATGCTAAATTCCTTGAATGGATTGAAATTTTGGCTTTTGCCATAAGGGAAATAAAAGGAGAACAAAATTTTCCTTCAAACTCTGAATTAATAGAAAATGTTCAGAGCTTGATAAAAAATTAACAATCAAATTATAATGAATTGATAATGCAGTTCTACCTGCTAATCATTTATATTGATCTTAAAGTTCTTCAATATATTTTCTACTAAATTTGTCAATCTTGACGAGTTAATTCTTATTGAGATTCATACTCAACATTTTAAGCATTTACATAATTGGCTTGCTCTATGGTTCTAAACGTATAGATGTATATCTCTTGCTCTGTTTTAGAATTATTCTTGTAGATTCGAGAAGGGCTGCAGTATAATCCTTACTTTCCTGGCGTTTAGGTTTATCTAGAAAGAGTGAATCATCGTATTCTTTTGATATTGTTGGCTCAGATGACGAAAGACGTTTTGATAACTATGTATCTTTCGATTTGATAATCATGTAATTATATCATTATTTCAGAATTAGTAATTTAATTTGGATCTTTATTATCATTATTTTCAGATTAAAATTTAAGTAACAATTGTTAACTTCTTTAATTAAGAAAAAACAAATAATCTAAACACGGAAATTGTTTAGACATAAGTGATAAGTGGTGAAAACAAATACATTTATTAATATATATTGTGCGAACCCACGAGAATGTCATTTTACTAATAAAACATAAAACTATCGTCTGATGGGTGAGAAAATATACACAGTCTGATGAGTGAAATAGTAAATACGGTGAACTTTGGGTGGAAAAATGTCATTCATTCAGAAAGCATTATATTTCAATTCCTCTCAACCACTTCGCTCTGCTTTTTGTAAGTGGAATTAATGACCCAGAAAATTACGGAGAAAACTTTACAAAATAAACCAGACTTTACAAAAGTCAGAGCAACGGTAAAACTTTAGCTCAATACTCTTCAATCTTATAAGGATTTCTGAAATGTTTCTAATTTATGTCAACTTGTTTATTGCAGGAGACAGAAAACGTGATACTTAATGGTTGCTGGTTACGTAGCTGAGAGGGTCGGTTAATTTTCTGGGCCTCTGTTATGAAATTCAGGAATTAACGCCGTAATTAAAGGTCCAGTTTTATGAAATCAAAATATGTCTCAGTAATTAACATGAGGAACCTTGAGTGGATATTGGTTCTACTTATAACACTCCAGAAATCCAAGATGGTGCCAGGACCAAAATTTTAGATTTAATTAAAAAAGAATCAATTTAGATGAGATTTAAAAAAAGAAAAAAAAAATTAGCAGCTAAGCAAATCCTAATATCACATCCTCAAATTCACAATTTTGGAAGAAATAAAGTTATATATTAATATAAAATCTTTAATTTGAAAATGGTAACGCATAATTAAATAAACTTTAGTGGGCAGTTGATAATTTTAGTGATGAACTCGGATTAGCAGATATTTGATAGGTGGTAATGAAAGATGCATAAATATAAAAATCTTTTTTTTTTTTTTCTTTTTGAAAAATGATTATACAACAAACTGAATCACTGATTATGAAAATATATATATATGAAGTATATTTAAAAAACAATTAGTAAGGTATAAGTTTCTAATTCAAAATGGGGCTTTAAGCCAGTGATTGCCTAATTCAACTTGGAATAAGTTTGCTCTCTATGGGCAATAGAATAACATATATATATATATATATATATGAGTGAAAATTATTAGGTATGCAATAAGCTGGATAGATTATCTAAAAAAAAAACTGCTTAGCACAAAAAAAAAAAAAAAAAAAAAAAAAAAAAAAAAAAAAAAAAAAAAAAATCGAAAATCGAAAATATCAAAAGAACTAATAATGACATTCACACCTTAGAATATACATCAACATAATTCTCTAACCATGATGTCCAATGTTAATTTGGTAGGACTATAAATTCCATCTGATCTGAGTTGTAAAATATCATATTAGTCCAACAAGATGAATTAATTGATGATTAAACAAGAACATGATGAAATTAATAACACACACGAATTCATCGATGATTAAACAACATCCTGATGAAATTAATATCAGAATGTCTTTACTAGAGAATATATATATTAATGCTGCATAAATTTTATTTGCATCATGTCTATAACTAAATAAATTCATTTACCTGAAAGAAGAAAACGCTGTCAAGAACTTGATGTTGCTGTCGTCCAAACCAGTGAGGTGAGTTACAATTAAATTGTTATATGGTCTAACTTTTGAGGCCATCTTGTATAGATAGAAGGAAAGAGGGAGAAAGCTACAAGAGAAGTTAACAAAAAGTGCAGCTAGCATGAATTATTTAAGTAAAGGATATATAACTTCTTTTGCTTTAGAGGAGATGGAATCATAAGATGAAGAGTGTGAATTGATCAATGAATCATTGTAAGTAAAGAATATATAACTTCTTTTGTTTTGAGGAAGGAATCCAAATTTATGTTAAAGAATAACTTCTGAATTGAGGAAATAAAAGTTTTAGCTCCAAAGAATGTAAGGCCTTAACTCAAGTAGAAATTACTGATCGATGCTTCTTTGTCCATTATAGTAATTCTAAAAATTTAATTTCATCAAACAGTTGATAGTATACATTGCAAGTTTCAGTAAATTGTTTCCACGGATCTGCAATGTCATGGACAAGTACATTTCCCTCCATTAATTCAATCAGAAGTTGAGGCCGTAACTGGGATATTAGTATCAGATGTTCATACAGTCATACAATGGATCTATTGAAAAAGTTGCAAGGAGCGACAAGTTTCTTGCTGCTGCGATTAAGTTTCCTAATGAAATTTTAAAATCTTCTAGGTATATTCACTGATGGAAAATCAGATGGCACAATTAAAACCCTTTTTTAGAGATAAGTTGTAGTCAGAACTCCAAAATGTATAAATAGTAATTGGCTGCAGAACACCAGAGGTCAAGAATCAAGATATATTAAGGAAGCATATAGGGAAACAATATTGGCCGCAGAACACCAGAGGTCAAGAATCAAGATATATTAAGGAAGCATATGGGGAAACAATATTGGCTGCGAAGTTTCCTTTCACTGATTATTTCTTCCTGTCATGGCAACTTGATACCTCAAGTATCTTTAGGTTCCGAACAAGAATAAGCCATGTCAAGTCCCTCAAGTTATAGCAAGACGCAATATGAACAGCGGAAAGCCTGCCGAAACATTTAGATGCAAGTAATTTATTGCCAAACTTTAGCTCCTCTGTAAAACCACAATTTTTCAAAGATAGTGTATGGAGATTCACCATATCTGCTAAATCTAGAATGCTATGATTTACCGTTAAGCATTCGAGCTCTAGAGATCGAGTACATCTCTAGATAGGCAATGGCAGCTATCTGTGAGCAGGATTCGTAGGGGTCACCAAGTCTATCAGCAAGTTAGTGCATCTTGCCACTCTATGTCATTGATATCGTTTCGTGATCTTGTGGAGTGATCGTTTTCCTCAACCGTATGCAAATGAACAAGCAGCCAGATTTGCTATTTGTGGTTGGGGGGNTGGTGGATCGTTATTGCCTCAAGTTAAATCTAACTAAGAAAGCAAACTCCAAGAACAACAAAATTTAACAACTCCCTCAAAAGATCAAGTTGAAAACTGCTCAAACAAGAAATCCTACAAGCCTGAAAATTCTCAAGGCAAGGTACAGTCTTCAATTGATGTTTATGAATCACATTATACTACTTTGTTCAATCAATTCAAGATTCAAGAAGTTGAAGAAAGTAAAGTCTCAAAAGGCAAAGTAATATTGAAGCAACAAATCAATAGGAAAGGAGTGTTCAAGAATCGAAGCATGAAGTTGAAGGCCGAAAACAAATCGAAGATGAAATTGTTAGAATTTAAGGTGGGCCTGACTCCTCACCCAATAAGGCCTTGTTGAATGGGAGGATTACCCCTTCTTATAACCCAATAGGCTTGAGCGTGCCTAGTCGATATGGGACTCCAACACTCCCCCTCACAGTCAAGCGCATATGTTGGGTCATGCTTGTTATTGGAGGTAGTTGCTGGCTCTAACTCCTCACCCGTTGGTCAAGCGCTCGGCTCAATTAAACCTGGGCTCTGATACCATGACGAAACTAACTCAGATATGGAAAAATGATATTGAATTCAAATTGAATTGAAAACAGAGTTACAGCAGTGTATGCTTTATATACAGCAATCTTACAACAAACTTAACAAACATTAACTGACTTAACTAATTAACTAACGTTATAACAAACTAATAACTACTTGAAACTAACTTCTTAATAGCTAACTAACTCAGCTATAACAACTAACTAACTCAGCTAACCAACTTCGTCTTTATTCTTCAACATCCCCCCACAAGCTGGAGAATGGATGCTAAGCATTCCCAACTTGGATAAATTGGTATGGAATTGAGCAGGTGGCAGGGCTTTCGTGAAAAAGTCAGCTAACTGGTCTGAAGAAGAGCATGGCATGAGATGAATCAAACCGTCTTGAACTTTCTGTCTTACAATATGGTAGTCAATTTCAATATGTTTGGTACGTTCATGGAAGGTGGGATTGGCAGCAATCTAAAGAGCTGATTTGTTGTCACAAAAAATGAGAGTTGATCCTGAGTGAGTGACGTGAAGATCCTGCAGCAAGTAATAAAGCCATTGAATTTCACATGTTGTGGATGCAAGGGCACGATATTCAGCCTCAGATGAAGAACGAGAGACAGTGGATTGCTTCTTGGCACGCCAACTGATCAAGGAAGATCCAAGGAAAACATAGGAACCTGTGATAGATTTTCGTGTATCAGAACATCCAGCCCAGTCAGAATCACTGAAAGCTTTGAAGGAAAGAGATGATTCAGCTGGGAAAAATAAACCATAAGCAGGACAACTCTTTATATATCGAAGAACATGATGAGCAGCTTATTGGTGAACCGATGTAGGCTTATCAAGGAATTGACTAAGTTGTTGAACGGCAAAAGACAAATCAAGCCATGTAGAAGTCAAATATAATAGTCTACCAACCAATCTTCTATAAGAGGAGGGATCAGATAAGGGATCACCAATAGCTTGAGTGAGTTTACAAGTGTAATCCATTGGAGTTTTGGTAGGCTTACAAGCCAAATATCCAACATCAGAAAGAATGTCAATAGCATATTTTCTTTGGCATAATGCAATACCAGACTAGGAATGAGGCACCTCCAAGCCAAGAAAATATTTTAAGTCACCAAAATCCTTAATCCGAAAAGCATCATCTAAGTAAGCTTTGACAGCATCAATTTCTGCTAAATTGTTACCTGCTAATATAACATCATCTACATATACTAGAAACACTGTTATAGAAGAAGCAGAATATTTAACAAAGAGAGAATAATCTGATGAAGATTGTGTGTAACCCAAAGAAACTAAGGCAGAAGTAAGCTTGGAGAACCATTGTCTAATGGCCTGTTTAAGTCCATAAAGGGACTTTTGGAGCTTGCAAACTTTGCTAGGATTTGAAGAATCAAAACCAGGAGGTAATACCATATATACCTCTTCAAGTAAATCACCATGGAGAAAAGCGTTATTGACATCAAGTTGCTTAACATGCCAATGAGAAGCAGCAGCCAAAGCAAGAAGCAATCTGACAGTTGTGATTTTGGCCACCGGTGAGAATGTATCAAAATAGTCTATACCCTCAGTTTGGGTATAGCCTTTGGGTACTAACTGAGCCTTGTAACGCTCCATTGAACCATCTGCTTTATGCTTAACACAGAACACCCATTTGCAGCCAATTAGGGACTTGCCAGGAGGGAGATCTGTGAGTGTCCAAGTGTGATTTTGCTCAAGGGCAGTAATTTCTGCTTGCATGGCTTGGTTCCAACAGTCATGTTTAATGGCTTGTGCATAATTCTTAGGTTAAAATATAGTTGAAACAGCTAAGGTAAAATGAAGTTGATTTGGTGAAAGGTTGGAATAAGAAAGAACAGAAGATAAGGGATAAGTAGTACCTGACTGAGGGACCGAAAGTTCAGGTGCAGTGACCATATTGCAATGATAATCTTTTAAGTATGAAGGAGGCTTTCTCAACCTTTTTGAGTTACGATCAGGTGGTATAACAGGAGAAGGGATAGGAGAATCAGTAGAGGAAAAATTATCAGGTGGTAATGATGATGAAGTAGATAAGGAAGTGTATTTAGGAGGACAAGGATCTGAGTCAAAAACGGTTGAATTCTGAGGTAATGGTACTGAATGATCTACAGGTTTTGAAAAAGGGAAAATGTATTCGTAAAAGAAGACATTACGAGAGAGAAAAATATCTCTAGAATGCAAATCTAATAAAACAAATCCTTTAGTACCATATGGGAACCCTAAGAAGAGACATTTCCTAGCTCTAAAATCAAAATTGTTTCTGTGAGCTTGTAAAGTGGAGACAAAACACAAGCAACCAAAAATTCTTAATGAATCATAATGAGGAGATTTTTGATATAAAAGTTCAAATGGTGATCTGTTTTGCAGGATAGGAGAAGGAATTCTGTTGAGGAGGTGAATGGCATGAAGTACTGCATAGGTCTAATATTCTTTGGGCAAGTTAGACTGAAAAAGTAAAGATCTAGCAACATTTAGAATGTGCTAGTGTTTACGTTCCACCACACCATTTTGTTGGGGTGTCTCAACACGTGTTGTTTGATGATAGGCTCCCTTTGAGGCATAGAAATGGGCATTATAAATTCAGCACCATTATCAGTGTGAATGGTCTTTATTTTAGCTGAAAATTGGGTTTCTATGAGAGCAAAAAATGACTGAACCAGCTGCCTAACTTCTGATTTTTGTTTGATCAAATAAATCCATGTAAATCTAGAATAGTCATCCACAATAGTTAAGAAGAATCGATGACCATGAATAGAACAAATTGAATAAGGACCCCAAATATCAACATGAATCATATCAAAACATTTAGAAGTTTTGGAATGACTTATAGGAAATGGTAATCTTGGTTGTTTAGCCAAATGACAAATGGTACAAGCTTTATTATTATGAAGTTTAAGGCTAGGAATACAAGATGCTAAGTGTTGTATTCTAGAATCAGATATGTGGCCAAGTCTATAATGCCAAATATCAAACAATGCAATACTTGATGCTAAAGAGACAGACAGATGGACAGAGCTGGCTGCAGAAACAGAAGATTTTGTCATTACATATAGGCCATCATCCACTTTAGCTGAACCAATCGTTTTCCACAAAGTCAGATCCTGGATTAAACAATAAGAATGTTGGAAGATCAGGCAACAATTTAGTGAGGAGGTTAATTTTGTGGCAGATATCAGATTAAAGGAAAATCCAGGAATATAAAGTACATTTGTAAGAACCAATTTTTCAGTGAGACTTACAACCCCAGAATATTGAGCAGTGATTTTAGAACCATTCGGTAATGTGACTAAGATTGGTTTGATTTGCTTATAGCTATCAAAGGAAAACAAAGAGTGGGCAATGTGATCTGTTGCACCTGTATCTACAATCCATAATGAAGATTTAGCACATGTTAAAGCAAAATGCTTACTTGGAACTGAAGAAAAATGAGATGTAAGGGTTGACTGAGGTTGAGAAACAACAACTTGGTTAGTCACATGAGATGGTTGCTCAGAATTGGATGATTAGAGCAAAGCAAGCAATTGATGCTATTGATCTTGAGTCAAAGAAACAACAGAACCTTCTTGACTATTAACAGTAGCATCGGACTGCATAGGAAGATCTGTGCCATTTTCTTCCACAGTTACATTATGAGTAGTGGGATTGTGACTTTTGGACTTGTAACCAGGTGGGAAACCATGCTTTTTATAGCAAGTTTCAACAGTATGTCTCGGTTTGCCACAGAATGTGCAAAACCGATTATCTCCATTGTGTTGTGAATTTGCTGGATTGAACCTCCGATTGTTCTGTGATTTGTTAGCAGCTGAATTTTCTTTAACAGCTTTATTAACAAACACTTTAGCAACTCCAAAATTCAGCTGTCTTTCTTGTTGCAAAACTAAAGAAAAAACTTTGTTGATTGGAGGAAGTGGATCCATGAGCATGATTTGAGTTCTGACAATAGCAAATTGATCAGTAAGTCCTTTAAGAAACCGAATGACATAATCACTATTCTGATACTTCTTGAAAGTTGTCAATACTCCACAAGAACAAGGTGTTGCACAGGTACATGCAGGAAGTGGCCTTAAGTTTTTCAACTCATCCCAAAGAATTTTTAATTCGGTGAAATAATTGGTAACACTTCGATCCCCCTGTTTAAAACCATAAATCTCTTCTTGCAAATATGAAATTCTAAAAATATCTCCTTGTAAAAAACATTCTTGAAGGTCATCCCATACATCATAAGCTTTATCTATCCATAAGATGCTACTAGTAATGGATAATGAAAGAGAATGAGTGAGCCAGGAAAGTACCATAGTATTGCATCTTTCCCAGACAGAGAACAAAGAAGCAGTGGATGGAGGGGCTTTAATGGAGCCATCAACAAACTTCAACTTATTTTCGGACAGCAATGCCATCTTCATAGCTCGTGCCCAGGTATGATAATTGGGACCATCAAGGACTGGAGAAACAAGTACAACAACAGGATTTTCATTAGGATGAAGGTAATAGGATTGGAAATGTCTTGTGTTGAATTGGACGTTAAGGCCGCCATTGATAGAGTGCAAAAGGTAGTAAAAAATTTTGGAAGAAAAAAAAGGTTTGTGTTTAGAGGAAGCAAAAATGCTCTGATACCATGTTAGAATTTGAGGTGGGTCTAACTCCTCACCCAATAATACCTTGTTGAATGGAAGGATTACCCCCTCTTATAACCCAATAAGCTTGAGCGTGCCTAGTCGATGTGGGACTCCAACAGGAATTACCAAGAATTTGCAGAAAGATCAAGAATCAATTGAAGATTACAAATTGACGGTGCTAGAAAAATAATCTACAATCCTAGTCAAAGAAGAATCAGACGTAGGTTACGATAAAAGGAAAGTTCCGATCCTAGTAGATTTAAGAAAAATGATGTAATCAGGAAACTGAATCATTGAGTTTTAGGAAAACTAATGCAATGCCTATTGATTCTCAAAGTATTTATTTTTTACTTATGTTTCTAACGAACAATCCCCTGATTGGGTCTAAAATTTAAATTATTTGACTTTATTGTGTAAAGTAAATTTACATAAATAACCTTAATCATTGCTATCTTTGACAACAATAACAGTGCCATAAGTGATCCTTTTTTTAAAAACCTTGAAACAAGACTTTGTATAATCAATTTAGAACCCTTGCTTATATATCTTTTTTTTGGACAATTAATTATCCACGATAATTCTGTTGTTTATTGATTTATTAACAATGTGATGAGAAAAATTATTACCAAACAACAAATCAAACAAGCACAACAATAAGCACATAAACAATAAATAGACAAATGACATGTTATACATCATTATTTGGCCAACTTTTTCTATGTCCACGCCCACAACTAAAAAACCTTTGTGTGGTAAGGGTTTCTACTAAGGATTTGGGTCCCATGTTCATCTTAATTTACCTAATCTTTCACGAATTTAAAGACACTGGACAATTCCACCATCTTACGCTTTCAACTCATTCATATAAAACATAGTCTTAGAATTCCATCCAAAAAAAAAAAAAAACTCTTTCATTCTAACAATGCTGCCACTTAGTTATGTATCAATACACTCTTTGGTTTCAATTCAATTTTTTTTTTTTTTTTTCAATAAAATCAATGCAACTTCTTGTTCTATGTTTATTCAACTATATTTCTTGGATTTTGATATTTACTGGAGCAAAAATTTGTCAAATTTTTTTCTTTAATTCAGATTAGTGTAGGAGACTAGTGTGTGCAATAGAAGAGAAAATCGTCATCCACGTAAAGTTTGTATACGAAGAATATATTTTCTTTAATTCAGATTAGTGTAGGAGACTAGGGTGTGTAATAGAAGAGAAAGAATCGCCATCCAGATAAAGTTTGTATATGAAGAAACAAGTTTTTACAATAATGAAATAACTAAAAAGCAAAGGCGGAGCCAGCACACCCTGAATTTTTTTATTAAAAAAATCCACAAGGTTTTATAAATTTGTAATTACACCCTAATTAATTATATAATTTCTAAACAATTAATCTAATTGTCAAACTCAAAAACAAGATAAATGAAATACTAGATTATAAATAAATAAGGCCCATGTTATACAAATTTAATTGACCGGATTATATATATATATATATATATATATATTAAATTTATATTTTCTCCAAACTTGATTTTTATGTAAAAATCTTAGTTTTTTGGTTTTTAATATAGGAAAAATATCTTATTACCATAAAATCCTATTCTAATTGATTTGGGATTTAATTTAGTTTGCTTTTTACAAAATTAGTAGTTTTATGGGTTTCGTTATGTTGAAATGCTTTCTTTTATTTAATGCATTTAACAATACTGACAATCTTCACTTTAAAACATCAAATTGTGTTGAGAATAACTGTCATTTTTTTTGAAAAAAATAATTAAAAATCCAATATTTATTATTTATGTTTAATACTTCAAATTAAATCAACTTAAAGCTCTCTTGCTCTGCACGAGGCACCACGGAAAGACAAAGACACCCTATAAAATTTTATGATAATGATTCTTAGTACTTTATTATAACCACAGACACTTCTTAACTTAGAATCATGCTTTAATATGTTCAAATTTTCAAGCTCCAGGAAAAAGAGAATTAATGCATCTCATAAATTATTTTTGATACTTCATTTATGATAAAGAATATGATTTACAATTTAAAAATCATAATTCTTTTAGACATATTTTTGCATACTTTATTATGAATAACCATATAAAAAAGAAAAAAGAAAAAAGAAAAGAAAGCAAAGTAAATCAATAAGAGGATCCCCTAAGCGACGTTAACACTATGGAGGACCAATGTCTCAATAGTAAGCCCAGGACCAAACCCGAAAAGCACTCCCCATTCCAAACCATCTCCTGTGGTCTTCAACCCGTCTTCAGTTGACTTCTTCCTTACTTCATCCAAAACAAACAATACAGTTACGCTTGACATATTACCATACTCAGCAAGCACGTGCCTGGTCGCACGTAACTTTTCAGGTTTAAGACCCAACTTGGCCTCCACTTGGTCCAAAATCGCAGGCCCACCAGGATGTGCAGCCCAAAAGATTGAGTTCCAATCTGTGATACCTAAAGGGTGGAATACCTCAATCAATCGCTTCTCAATATGGTTTGAAATAAGGTCAGGAACTTCCTTCCCAATATGAATCGTAAGTCCGTGCTCGCGAATACTCCCACAAATAGCCCCAGGGCTATTAGGCACCAATGTTGGGGCTGTAGAGACTAGTTCAAATATGGGCTTTTCAACACCAAGAATCGGATCTGCACCAACTATGAGAGCTGCAGAGCCATCCGCAAATAAAGAATGGCTCACAAGAACATCGACATCGGTTTCAGTAGGGCAATGGAAGCCGACGAGAGTTATTTCGGTGCATACAATGAGGACACGAGCACCTTTATTGTTCTCAGCTAGGTCTTTAGCAATACGAAGTATGGTGCCACCTCCATTACAACCTTGTTGGTACAACATGACTCGGTTAATAGATAGATCAAGGCCCAAGGTTGGACAATTTGGTAGTCGTACCCAGGCATGAATGGTCCCATAGTGCTACACAATTAAGTGAGTGTTTTTGACTGGGTTGGCCCCATTCCTCGATGGCTTTGGTTGCAGCTTCCTTGCCTACTTTGGTATCAATGTTGCCGCCATATCTTCCTAGTACTAATGACGGCGTCTTGTATGATTTAATGTTCGGATTTTCTTTCATAACTTCTTCAGTTGTGTAGTGTGTCGCTTTTTTATCATGGTTTATCACCTGAATCATTAAATATGAATAGGTTATTTTCAATCCAAATTGTTCAATATCTCGAACATAATTAACACTTTGAAAAATAAAAAGCAACTAAACTAAAAAAAACGAAAAATTAGCTAGAAATAGTATTTCTTACACATGCGCTGCATTTTGTATTTGACCTCGGTCAGGTGCTCGGTATTTGTCTACGAAGTAAGTGTCTGGATATGAGCTTTGATCATAGACATTTGGAGGATTTGTTGTTCCAATGCCATGATTGTGGCAGTGCCTTCAGCACGTTGAGCCTTGCGAACTTCATCCACAGTAACCATTTTAGCTCCAATGAATATATTGCAACTTAAGTCTTAAGTTCTTTGAGTCTTGACTATTGTGTCTTTATGATCGAGGATTCAATATTTATACACACTGATTAACTATAAAAATTATTATTCATTTTCGTCATGTTTTTTAATAATGATTTTCAAAATATCATGGCCCATGTACCCCATTAGAAATAAGGGAATGCTGCTGGATATATATCTGTATACAACAGAATTGAAGAGATTATTAGCTAGCATTTATTTCGGTTCAAGTTATGTAAGATCTGGCATATGTGCAGAGAATATTTATTTGATTAATCCATCTTAAGGTTTTTAATTAATCTTTAATATTTGGTGTAAGTTTTCCGTGATCTAATCAATATGATTTATTATACATAGTTATACCTATTTTAATTTCCAAACATGCATGCCCCGAATTAAGTTTAACTAGACAAATTAATGATAATGATTTTAAGCTTCAGTGATTGTTCATTGTTTCAAGGTCATGGTTTTCTCAAGCACATGCTTTATGGATTTTTTTTTTCTATATATTTTTAAAATTATTCGGAAAGTGCATCAATGGAGTTCTACGAACATCCATATTATTTTAGTAATAGCTGCTATGATCTGAATTTAATAATTAAACACCTCAAATTAGCTAGTTAAATTGGCAAATAGCTTAAAAATTCGAATTCCTTCCTTTATAGTTAAAGAATTAATTCTATTAACTATTCAATTATTACGCATGTGAGTGAAGATCTTTCCTTTTACAAAAGAAACAATTTGAGTCAACCACCCTTACACCACATGCACAAAATCAGTGACCAGTGAATTGTGGTTTAAGCTAACTTATACTTTTTCTTTTTTTCTTTTTTAATGATAGGCTTCATGCTTTTAATTTTTTTTTTTTTTTTTTTTTTTTAATGCAATGTACCATTCAAAAGATACACAAATATGTCTTCATTGTCAACTACTAGAGATAAAATTATCAAAGTTTATTTGTTTATCCTTTATATTCAAACATTGATGAGGTTAGTAAAATTCTAAATCCTTCATATTCAATTATTATCAATAAAATTTTCAGTAAAATTGGCTTTTGTTGTACAAATTTTCGTACAATTTATATCGGAGCATACATATGTCATATCGTGGGTGCATCGTCTGCAAGAAATCAAAAGAATATTATTTTCGATGCAAAATGTGTCGAATCCCTAATCACTCCGAAAGAGATTGTTGGTATCAAAAGAAAAAAAATATGGGAACGAGTTCAATTTCACAAAAGAAGCAAAGAAGAACATTTATTATTTTCATGCAAGAATGATAATATCGCCGAATC